TAAGCTCATATATCATCCTGCCAACTCCCCTTTTTTGTGCAATGTATATACATTCAATTGAAAATAAAATAAACCCTTTTTCAGCTTTGGGACAGCTTGGGGTTCAGTTAAAACACTTTTTGAGAATAATCTCGCCGACTTTCAGCATACTTGCTTCCTTGCCTTCCTACAGCAATGCTTATTTGAAACATCTATTTAATCCATCAAGAATTCAATAGGGCATTATTCAAGACATACAGGCTAGGAAGCTGGAATGCATAGTGATGAGGCTGCAGGTGCGTGATGGCCAGGAGCCTTGCAGTAGACACTCGGTGCTCTGATGAGGTTACTTCGCTATCTTCCCAAAGGGACTTAGCCAAGCACTCTGCCTCCAGACCTAAAACTAATCTAAGCAGGTTGAAGTGATTGGCTCCCATGTGTTTGTCCTTTCTTGACCTCACGGGAAGAGTACAGACAGTGAAGAGAAGGTTCCTGCCTCCCACAGCAGTGCATTTGTCCATCTGTCCACGGGATCACTCTTCAAGGTCAATTGGTCAACTGCCTGATGTGCCTCTTCCCAGGCTTGTCTTGTATAATTGTATCAATAGAACATTTTTAACAAATGGAGATGATTTTAAAGTAGTTTTTTTTTTGCAGCTTGATTTTTTTCACTTCTATAGTGGAAATGAGAAATGAATATTTGCTTGATAGAAGGAGTGGCAGGGCTGGTCTTGGGCAAAGCACTGTAAACCATCGGCTGTAATGCTCATCAGTCGGGGCTATCCAATTTCTGATTCTGCTCCTTGCTAATGTGTTTGGGATGTCAGTGGAAGATGACCCAAGTTCCTGGGTCCATGTCATTCATGCGGCAGACTGAAATGAATGCATTTCCTGGCTTTCCTAGCCTCTGCCTGGGCCAGCGCCAGATGGTGTGGCCCTTGTGAAGTGAATCAATGGATGGAAGATCTCTCTCAATCTCTCCCCCTTCCCGTTTTTCTCTCTTTATCTCCCTTCCTCTCTTCCTCCCTTCCTTTTCTGTCACTCTGCCTTTCATATAAAATAAGTGGATCTTTAAAACATACATGAGGGTTGAGCATCAAGGAAAAATTTATGATAGGTTAAAAGAACATTTCAGTGCTGGCTTTGGGAGCACATACACTAACGTTGGGACAATCCCTGCTAGTGAATCACATGCAACTTGGTGAAGCATTCCATCTTTTCGCATCCTGGAGCACAAGGGAACCCAGCAGGCCAGCTCTGACACACTGCGAGGACTGCTGGTGTGAGAAGCTGCCTCCGCTGTGATTGCAACATGGCCCTGCCAGGAACACAGGAGCACCAGCAGCTCCGTGAGCTCGGAGCCAGAGCCGCTGGCCACGGCCTCACACGCAGCCCAGGTGCCGCTCTGAGACACCTGCTGCGACCTCCCCAGACTGGAGGCCTCCGAATTTTCCTTTCATATGTTTGAATAAAAAAATGTTTTTCCTAAACAGTTAAAAATAAAACAAAATTAAAGAAACGAAAGGACATTTCAGTTTCTAGAAAGGCCTGGACAAGACAGAATCATTCATGATTCTACACAGACCCAAGGTTTGTTAGTTCAGCTTGGCCAATTTTCTTCCAGGTCAAAAAAAAAAAAAAATCGAAAACCAAGCATCAAAATACACTGCACATAACCTTTATAATGGCTCTTCTGTTTTTCTTAGGAAGGATCTTCTTCTCTTACAGCTACCAAAATAGAAACACTATTTAGGTGGCTACTGCATTAAGAAACAATTGGTTATTTTATGTATCCTTCACTCTCAGGGACCCAACTGTCTGGTAGTGATTCAAGCGTGGCCAGAGCAGCAACAGGTTCTGACTTGTATCTGATGTAACCCTTCAATGAAGACATTAAAGGTGGCTAAGTTTAAACACTATTGAGAACATATCAATATAAGAATTCTGATGTTAAGTTGATCTGAACGTTAAAGAATATACAGATATTTTTACAAGTCTAGGAAAAAGGGATTATGCTTCAGTAGTCACCAGTTTTAAGACTGGAGCAGTTAAAGTGCATCACCTTGAGTGATCTGATGGCTTGAGGTTTTAGTCAGAACTCGAATGGAAGGAAAAGCTGACATCTGTGCGAATCTTGTGCTATGTTTTTATGATATTTAAGACTGAAAGGCAAAATGACTTTGTTTTCTTTGTGTATGTTTTGTTGCAGAAAATGTAAGATTCTGTGTAGCATGGAAGTTACTTTCTGGAATTCAGGGAGATCAAGACATTGTGAAAATCACCAGATGCTTGGGCTGATATTCCCAGGTTTACATTTCACTCTTTCAACACAGAGTAACTGACAAGCCTTGCTCATCCTTTTGTAGTAGGTTTTAAAAATTAGACTGTGAACTGCTTTCATCAATTTCTGAACATAATTGCAGCATATATCCTGCACAGAAAATTTGGCTTTAACCTTATGTAAGAAAACAATTATCAGAGTAATAATTTTCCACCCTCTAATTCTCCACCCATCTCGTAGGCAGTGGATTTATATTGTTACCTCACATATTATAATTGTGCAATCTTTCCTAAGCAACCAACTTAAGTGATTCCATTTAAATAATGTTTGATGTCTTGTATATCATTAAGTGGCTTGTGGCAGCATGATGACTTCTCACAGAACAGTCATGATTGACCTAGAAAATACTACAAAACTTCAACTGTGCTCCAAAAGAGATAATTACCTTCATATAGAGATATCTTTCACGATAGGCTTGATTTTAGGGTGATTTTTATGGAAGAGTATATTCTTTTGAATAAAGGATTTAACTTTTTTCTCTTTTTATTACTCCAGGAATTTGGATGAAATGGCTTTGGGACATCCTCAAATGCCACTTTTTAATGAGTTTATTGCTTTGATCAACAGATTGCAAGAGGAGCTAAATTCAGCAGGCCTTAGGTTATGAGCAAGGTGGTGCACTTGACTGTAAAGCTGAGAACTACATGTTCGTCATGCACAGATCCACCCTGGAAAACTTCACCACCCTACAGATGCCACATCTGGATTCGAGCAACCTGTTCAAGGAAGAGTTTCAACTGTTATCTCTGCTGCAATCCACTGATAAAACTACGGTCTGCTCTTGCTTGAGCTGATGAGGAACGCTCAGAAGCTAACTCCACTGCTCCAGACTGCCGGGAAACACCACACCAGCCAGTGCCCCATGAGTCAATGTATCCACTAGTGTCGAAAGTGGAGAACTTTCTCTCTCTAGGCCTTAGAGCTTCCCTTTCTGACCCAGGGCTAAGACAGAACAATAGAAACATTAACGCATTTACTTTGCTTGCTTTTATAATTTATGGGTCATTGTTATAAATAAGATATAAGAATAGGGAGCTACTAATAAATGTACTTAAATTTGCTCACTTTCCTGCTCTGATAGACACCTTGATGACTTTGTTTTCTATATTGTAAAATAAAATATGTCACAAAAACTAAGGCAAATAGGTAATAAAAGTAAGTGAACTTCAGTGGTAATCAAACTAAAGCAAATTAAAAAAACCTGGCATTTTCTAACATGCCTTGTTCGTAGACTTTCAAATTGAAAACCTTCAATCTTAGAATGTCTTTTGTTGGGGCAAGCATTTACTTAAAGCAGAATTTAGGTCAGCCTTTATTTTATTTTTTTTAAAGATGTATTTATTTTTATTGGAAAGTCAGATATGCAGAAAGGAGGAAAAGCAGAGAGGAAGCTCTTCCGTCTGTTAATTCACTCCCCAAGTGACTACAATGGCTGGAGTTGTCCTGATTCAAAGTCAGGAGCCAGGAGCCTCTTCCCGGTCTCCCACGCAGGTGCCAAGTCCCAAGGCTTTGGGTTGTCCTTGACTGCTTTCCCAAGCCACAAGCAGGGAGCTGATTGGGAAGCGGGGCTGCTGGGATTAGAACCGGCACCTATATGGGATCTTGGTGTGGTCAAGGTTAGGACTGTAGCTGCTAGGCCACCGTGCCGGGCCCTAGGTCTGCCTTTCTAGAAAGAATGTAGTCAGTGTGCATCAAAAGTATTATTAGTCAGTAACTCTATATTAAGAATTTTCAATGAAAGAAGTTAATATCATGTAGACATATGTATCTTTGTATTCATGTGTCTATCATTACTTAAGTTTTGAAATTTGATGCATGACTTGGTGTATCCAAACCTAGAATAATCACAGCTGTTCCAAAAAGACTATGAAAGGTTGTGTGTTTGTGGTTATCCCTGAAGTAAACAGAGTGGTCTATATATTCTTGTTTGTGTGTGAACACATTTTCTAGGTTTTTTGCAATGAAAATGACTATTAGTAATATTTTATTTGCAAAATCAAATATAGAAAGAACAAAGAATTGTTAAATAATAATATATCTATTCAATGAATTATTGGGCAAAGATTCAGTATCATGACTTAGCAGGCATCATCAGTAACACCAGGAAGTGCTCCAAAAGTTTTCAAGAATAAATTGAATGTATAACTCCGTATATCCAAGCCTAGGATAATCAAAGCTGTCCCAAAAAAAGACTATGACTGGTTTATTTTGGCATGTGTGTTTGTGGTTATCCCCAAGGGAAACAAAGAGTGGTTAATATATTCTTGCCTGTGTTTGAACATATTTCCTAATTTTTTGTGATGAGAATGACTGCTAATAGCATTCCTTTTGCCAAATTCAACAGGATGCTGTGCTTCGTCTGCAAAGATAAAGTCCAAAGGAGCCAAGTTCCTTTTGATCTGATTGCATCTTAGCAACCCACTGTTCAGTCTGCAAGTACCCAACGCTAACACTCACTGTTTCCTAGAAGGTCACCAAGTATACTAGGGCTCATCCAATTTCCACTTACATTCTCCCAACCAGACCTTCCCCTAGGGTTTCTGAGTATTATTTCTGGCTATCACTATTTCAAGTTATAGATAATTCATGATGTTCTAAGTTGGTCTGGTGATCTGACAACACCATTTTAGACTGTGACTCAAAAGAATGCTAAATTTCATTATATAAATTACATGCTTACCTGTATAGGACCAACCAATCTCTTCAACGAGTTTTCTCTGTTGTCTGTAATATCCATTGGCCCAATCTAGAACCAAGAAAAAGCAAATGAATAATGTGTGCAAATCTAAAGACTTAGATTTTTATGTGCAGCAATCATTCCTAGCGTGAATGAATCTTGGTTACTCCTTTCCATGTCATGTCATCAACAGGTCCCTTCCACCCAAGCCACCAGCCCTGTAGACCCCAATGCCTTTGTTCTGGTAGTAGTGTAAATCAAGGGACTGATTTTAAACAACTCCGGAGTTCAGGTAGAGTCAAAGCCAACATTGTGGGTAAAGCAAACCGTTTAAGAGGTCACTGCAAAGACAGACTAGTATCACAAAGAATTGGTTGTCCAAGGACCAAGTTTATCTTAACCTGAAGTCCTACTGATTGAAGAGGTTTCGTGTGAAGAATCCAATTTTACTTATAAATGCTTTGAGAAGAACCAGACGTCATCATGCTTTCAAAATCTGTTTCCCTTGTAGTATAAAATGGCATTGGCTGACTGGAGAAAATCAGGATTTAAACGTGTGTTATGTTTGCTATGGGAAGGGTTATGTTAGACAGTCTAAGTGAGTTTGGCCCCTGTAGGAACAGAGATGTTTTAGAAAGATAATGTAGTGTGATACTCGGGACATTACACAGACAGTAGGGGCTTCATGACCCTAAGAGAGTGAACAACATACACAGACACCACCACCACCACACACACACACACACACACACACACACACACACACACACACACACACACAGAAAAAAGAGAGCGAGCGAGAGAGAATGGAGAGGGGGAAGGAGTAGAGACAATAAAAGCAAAAAATTCACTCTGTATAATTCCAAATCTTATCCGTAGACTGCAAGTCGAGATGTTACTGTTCACTTTCCTCCTCACTCTGACATCATTCCTTAGCTGCAAACTCTACTAACTTGAGCTCTCCATTTCAGCTTACTCTGTGGGTAAAGCACATCTCACTCCCTCTTAGCTTACTTTGAGGATAAAGGACATTTTTGTGAGCCAGGTTTTCAATCACATCAGTGTTGATACAATGGTTTCTTATTAAAGGATTACAAATAACAACTTCACAAATGAATTAGTGGGTGTATGACTGACTCTTCTTAAATCAGAGTTTGGCCAAAATAGATTTCACATGAATGCAAAACTTTATTTATTATGTATTTCATATATAAGTATATTTTTCTCATCAGGAAACTTATGTAATTGTTTTCTTTTTATTGTTAGATTTCAACATTTTTCAGCAATGTAAGTTTCTCAAGAATATTTCATGCCCCCCTGCCCCTCATATGGAGCATGCTGGGTCCATGAGTCCAGGGAGCAGGAGACCCAAGGAGGCCCTGATCACTTTGCCTGGATTCCTCGGACTGCCTGTGCGGTGGGTGCCAGGTCCGTGAGCCCGGGGGCAGGGGTCGGGGGTCCTGGGTTGGGTCCTTGGGCCACCTGCCAGAGGGTGCCTGGTCCCTGGTATCCCAGAGCTGGGGGTCTTATGGGACCCAAGTATCCTGGCCCGGGTCTTTGGATCTGACTGCAATTACTGCTCCTCCTCAGTGGAAGTAGACAGCAGGTTCTGATGCACATTGAGGATATGACAGTCCATTGGGGCCTGCAGAGGACATCTGGTACCATAGCAGAGGAAGGAGAGCAGAACAAATTGGACAACTATCCCAGTCAAATGATAACAGCAAATATCTGGTGAAATGGAGACTGTAAGCTCAACTATGCCAGGCAATGGACATTGGAAAGGAGTCCTCATCCTTGGATTGGTGAGATCAAAAGCATTTCAGAAATATCAAAACCACCTGGGAAGAATCTTTGGAGCATATGCCACATTGGGACCCTGGTTGATATTAGGTAGCAGTTCCCCAACACACATAGTGAGGTGGGTGGGAGGCTGGGTTTGGCTCCTCGCCTTCCCCAGATACAGGAAGAAGAAATAGAATATTAGGAAACAATGATCATACCCACTTTTCCCTAACTCTCAATCCTTCCCACTCTGATCAACTGTGTAAACATCACAAAAATAAAATAATATTCTCTAATTACTATAGCATAGTGAGAAACAATCAAAAAGATCCTGCTACACCATTTTAGAAAGCCTGAAAGATAGAGCAGTTATCACAAATGCTTCCATCTGTTGGTTCACTTCCCAAATGATTGCAACAGCTGGAACTGAGCCAATCCAAAGCCAGGAGCCAGGAGCTTTGGGCCATCTTCTACTTCTTTCCCAAACAGGGAGCTGGACGGGAAGTGAAGCAGCCAGAATATAGACTGCGGTCCACGTGGGACCCGGGCTCACATGGGGAGGATTAGCCAATTGATCTTTCACACTTGGCCCAAATTCATTATATTTTAAAAGCAAAGATCTCTCTTAGAAAATAAAGGTTCTATTTTTTGTTTGTTTGTTTTAAATTTGTAGCCATCTTGTCTTTTGTTCCCATTTCCCACAAACTTATTGAACACTCTTCAATAAATTAAGGTGGAGCTAAAGTCCTAAAATTATACTTCTTCTAAAAACTTATATATTATGGGGTCAACATGGTATAGTAACAGCTCGTCTCTATGGGGTCAACATGGTATAGTAACAGCTCATCTTCAGCCTGCAAGCATTAACATCCCACATGAGCTCTGGTTCATATCCCAGCTGCTCCACTTTCAATCCAGCACCCTGCTTATGGCCTAAGAAAGCAACGAAGCATGGCACAAACCCTTGGGCCTTGCACCTGCATGCAAGGAACCCCAAGAAGAGGTTTCTAGCTCCTGACTTCATATTGCCTCAGCTCTGGCTTTTGCAGCCTTTTGTGGAGTGAACCAGTGGAGGCAAGACCTCTCTCTCTGTCTCTACTTTTCTCAGCAAATTTGCCTTTCAAATAGAAATAAAACAAGTCTTTAAAGAGACAACTCTCATTAGAAAAAGAAAAACCCTGTATATTATTTTCACTTAAATCATTTATTTCTCAAGTTCATCTGCTTCTGAGATGAAAGACTTCCACTGGCTTTCTCCTATCTGCAAACATTTAAAAATTAACATACTTTTTGGAGTCCAAACATCTAACTACCAACTTATAAGAGAACACAATATTAATCTATATTGTAAATTTGAGGAAAACAGGAATTATGAGGATCTAAGCAATCTCTATTTCAAGGTAAAGAAATGAAAAAGTTGGTGCTTCAGGCCCAGGCACTATGCCAACAAAGAAAAAGTTGTAAAACTATTACGGTAATGGAAGCTTTTCTACAAAGGATAAAGAACAAAGGGAATCATTTCTTCCACAGCCTAATTTTGGTAGTGGGATAGCCAAGAAAGTTTAATCTTTCTCTTAGAACAAGGGAGGAATTTGGAGGTAAACAATTATATTGCAAAGCAAATAAACACAAAAAAACCAAAAAACAAACAAAAAAACAACTGAGGACTAGTTATGCTTTTCCAGAGAATCTGGGTGCTGGCCATATGTCTACCAAACCTACAAGTTTTTCAATGAAAATCAAAATATTCACAGTCTAACTAGGAACATGACTGGTGTATTTTTCTGTATTTTTGTATATGACACATTTTGCATAAAGTGGTTTAACTATGTTTCTAAAGTTGATGGACTTTTTTTGAAAAACATGTTACAATTTTTTATCTTTATCAGATAACTATTAATGAATCTCTGTTTTAAATGAATTAGAAAACACAGGCAAAAATAGTTTAAAAAATCACCTGCCACTCGAAACCGCAACTCAGGATAAGTTCAGTTCATAATTTTATGCATGTGCTTGCATGTATAATAACTTGTACTTTATCTGCATCTAATCACAATATTTATTGGTAGCTTGCTTTTTCTACAAAGTAAAATAGATACATATATATATATCACTCTCAAGTTAACATATATGTCTTTAAAGCATAAAATTTCATTTAAAACATTCTGCACATATTGGATATAAAGATACAAAGCTAATTTTTGACTTGGAAAGTACTTCTTGTACTTGAGCGATAACTGTTTCCATTGAGCTAGCCTTGGTTAGGCTTTATGTGTAAAATAATATCTAAGGAAAATTAAATATTTTCCCATTTACCTCTTTTCTTGATATTCCAAGAAAATGATAAAGAACTCTGAGTTATTATACAAAGCTATAATCATTATAACTTCTTTGTTTTATATCCCAAACTGATAGTGATTTTGTTCCACTAAAAGAGAAAAATCCATTTGGTAATAAGATGGTGTTCACAGGAGCAAAGATCAAGATATCTGCATGTGTAAAAACAATTAGAAAGATCTAAAAATAACATTAAAAGCGAGAGGAGAATCAAGCTGAATAAAACACCATGAAAGATAAGCAGAGAAATGATTAAATTGTAAAAGGATGTGCCATTTTGTTATGTATTAATACGATGTGCCACTCTTACATGCTTTTAAATTATTAGCCATACAATCATTGTGCGTCATTATATAGCAACAGAAATCAGATTACTGTTGGGAGCCCTATTTTTGCACACAAATGTGTTAAACCTGACGTACAGCAAGAACACCTGCAGCATTACCCTGTGACCACAGAGAACTATCACAACAGTCAGAAGTTACAAAAGTCCCAAAAGTTCACATTTACAATGAGAAGGGAGAAACATCAGAAATGCGTATGAATCAAGTAACAAAAAATGAAGAATGCCATCCTATGCATAAAGGTAACGGTCATAAACAGATCTCTGATTGCTAACAGTTACGGCTTGATGGAAAATGTTCAGTGAAATGAAAATTACAGATGTGAAGTTATTATAACTGTTAAATATATTAAATATATATAGCAATATATTCCAAATTTATGGCATTGAAGAAATCAATATGAGCATAAAAGTGCTAATATGAACATGCAATTATTCATAATTCTGTGAAGAGCTGATGAACTTTTATGGATACCAAAAAAAAAACCCAAAAAGTAAAACAACATTGAGATAGTATTTTTTGGCTATCAGATTACCTGAGTCCACCATTATTTCTGAAGTATTCGGTGTTACCCTAAGAATCTGAAGGTGTTCCTTTGCATAC